AAAAGTGCCACGAATATGAGCATGTACAGTGTGCCCGTTATATCTGGAAATATACGAATATCTCGCAGATCGTTGCAAATATAAAAAAATTGTTATTATGAAAAATGTTTGATATAAAAGTTGATATCGTGTTTACAGGTACTGCTATCAGTGTAGCAGATACTGAATGGTCTAACTGGAGTCCGTAGCACGATCATATAGCTTGTCAACGACTTGCGATTCGTGTTAAACTGACTCCTTGGGATTAATTACCATAACCTTAATGTATCCGAATATTCGTGCGAGTCATTCGATATTAAACTAAACTAAGCTAAGCTAAAATGGAACTTAAAATTAAATTAAATTAAATTGTAAGTTCCACAAAACGGTAAGTTTACTCACTGCAGTGCTCTCGCTCGCAGATAACGACAAGAATTGAAGATTTGTCTGTTAAAAGAAGCCAAGAAATGAAGTAAAAGATCAGTGGACGAAATCTAGCAATACTCATACGACGTATAGGGATCAGTTTCTAATGGAGAACGTTACTGATTGATCACCGTGATGCTTGTCTTTTTGTCAACTAGTCACGTCTCGACTCGTAAATTTGTCGATTTATAGCAAACTTTGTAATATAGACAACAACACAACTGGCAAATCAGTGGACTTCTTTGACCTTGGGTAGTTCAGCTATAGACGGCTGGTTGAAAACCGCTTGTTTACAACACTTTGCCCTTTAAGTGAAGACAGCGTAGAGGGGACAAAGAATTGGCCTTCTTACCGCTTATTTACTTGAACATGTGCGTTAGAAGTTTCACTTTTACGTGGGCAAGAAATGCATAAAAAGTCTGGGTAATGTTTACACAAACCACGATTTTTTTGTTCATTACGAAATGTTTACAAAATTTTGTCGACCCCTTGTAACAGTTTCTGCTACCAGCGTCTTTCTCCACTTGGTATGGCACGGTTGACTTATGAAAATTGCCTGCATCAGATGCAAATTTTATTGTTAGTAACTAATTAACAAAGTCTTAGATGTAATTTTGTCATTATTGATTTTCGTCTTTAAAATGGTTTCAGGATTCACTCCTTCAATTTAATACCGATGAAAATGAATAAAAAATAATAAAATTTTTCCATACAAGGTTTTATTTTAGAGAAAATAAATCTTAAATATTTGTTGAGTATGTGTATATACTTGACTGTGTCTTCACTCGACGAATTTCACAGTAGATTTCATTATACACAGATTTCGTTCCAATTTTGTAAAAAAGCATTGCTACACTTTTCGGTATGTTTATGCTTTGCCAATTTTATTAATTGTTTTGTATTACACAGATAGCATAATGTAAATGAACAATTACCCTTATCATATTTGTAAGGTACGAGGGGTGCCCCAGAAAGTAATATCCGTTTTGAAATAACAATACAAATGTATTTAAAAAAATTTTTTTTATTTGTAACTGTAATATATGTTATTTTTCAACATAGTCGCCGTCCCTATTTAAGCACTTATCGTAACGTAAAGTGGAAAAGATAATCGCTCGGAGCCAAGTTCGGACTGTAGACAGGATGATTCAGTACCTCCCATTTAAAGTGGTGAAGAAAGTTTCTGGTCTTCAGAGCCACACGAGGTCGAGCTTATTTTGTAAATTTCTCTATTATGGGCTAGAGATGTTTAAATTAAAAAGAAAATATGGTCACATTCCTTGAAATTCTACCTACAAAATGAGCCCTTTTGCAGGACGGAGGGTTTAAAATTAGCGTCACAAGGAACTGGAAAAGGACTTGTGTATCCCCGTTTTAGGTAAGCAAGCTGCGCGCTCTGTTATTATAGTCGATTGTATGTAGGTACCTCTTATACCCCATAGTACCTTAAATATGATCTAAAAGCAGTATCGAAAAGTCTCACATACGACTAAAGCTCAGTGCAGACGAGCGGTTTATGGCAGCGTCATCGTCGCGCTGTGGCAAATTGACACTGCGTTTTAGAAAAGCATTGGTTTATATGAAACAGTTCACACGGAACGCAAAGACGCGACGGCAAATAAATGCAAGACGCTCGTGTGAACTGCAAAAAAAATGAAGCGTTAATTTGCCGCGGCGATGATGCTGCCGCAAACCACTCATCTACACTGGGCCTTAAACGAATAAAACAATGACAATATTAATTATTTAAACATGAAATTTGCTTTGATTTATGTCCACATATGAGTGAAGTTAGGTGACCTCCTATAAGCATATTCAATTATTTTACATGACTTTTATACGTAAGCGGGTATTAGGTACTTTCTGGACGACCCTCGTACAGGGACTCACGGACCGTGAATGGTATTAGAGTCACTCATTGCTTCAACGAAATTTTTATTAAAAATTTTATAGTTCGTTGAAACAAAATTCACGAGAGACCATGTATAATGTTCGAGATATGCATAGAAAAAGCATCTGAACACCCGCATCTTATTTTACAAACGAGTTATCAAGTAAAATAAAGTGAGCCAGTATAGTAGGAGATCAAATTGTGGATCTTTATTTGCAGTGACATATTTGCATTTTGCACATGACATATTGCTCGAATTATTGGAATATATTCCTCTTGGAATTCGAAAAAGTTTGCTTTTTGAACCGGTTGAAGAACCATTACATTTTAATTATAAAGTGAACAATTTTTTAAATGAAAAATATTAATGCTGGAACTGCCTTCAAATCTGTCGTCACACTATTTTTATTTCTAGGTCACGTCAAATCTATCGTGTACAGTGTTGATATGGCAAACTTTGAACAATTAAGACAATAAATTATACAGGGAGTTGCAGGTTTAAGATGCCAAACTTTATCAATATATTGTATGGGTCTGAGTAAGGAAAACATATTATATAAATATAGGTTGTTTAACGCTTTATTAAAAAGTTAGTTTTTACTTTAAAAAGTGATTTTTACATGTAGTTTTATGCGAGCTGTGTTTACTATCTGCAGTCATTAAATTAACACATCTTGCGCGGGTGCTTTGCCGCCAAACTCTTACCGGAATTACGACCACCTAAATACTTGTGAACAACATACGAGTAGCGTGCACTTGGCGCAATTGTCGTCTGTATAGAGTGCGTCCGCCGCTCAATTTCCCAGATTTATGTCAATGCATAGCTGCAAGCTCCGGTGTCGAATGCTACGTGTAGCATTCACGTAGCATAACAGCGTCAGCAAAACGCATTCATAGGAATGCATTTTTGCAACGCACGTTTTAATGTTGAAATATACGGGCGTCGACCTAGTACTCATGTGTATCCGATCTTATTGTAAAAACATTACAAAAGCCCATCGATAACAATAATCCACCAATAATCCGTGCAACACGACTTTAGTCGCTTCCCGCTCAAGATGTGATCCGCGCAAAACGACCTTAGTCGCTTCCCGCGCAAGATGTGTTAATACCAATATAGCAAACAAGTGTTTTTAAGTAGCGTAAATGTTGAGGTAAAGGCCTCGTAATTAGGTTTATCAGCAAATGGAAATTCAAGCCACCACATGCAGCATGGCAGACAGAATGTGAACAAATTGCGAATATTTTTCAGTGCTTTTGTCTGGTAATAATGCATTGGCAGAGTGGAGGTCATTAATGCATGCATAGTTATATAGTCGTATTATCAGGTGGCTGCATGACCTGTGCAGCCCATTCTCCTACGAACCGGCCGCAGCCTGTCCTGCCCGTATCACTACGGATTGTTCAAATTATATCGTGTTTGATATCATTTTCATCAGAAAAATCTCAACAACATGTTAAAAAAAATTTCAGATGAATAAAAGTAAAATTAAAGGAATTATATTTTTCTATTATGAATTGTCGAGCCGTGAAATCTCGTAAAAGAAACCGAGTGGTGTAGCGTTACGCGCTTGACTGACAACGAGCGAGATAACATAGATCTATACTGACACTTGTAGAATCCAAACTGACTGACACTTGTAGAGAATTTACTGTACATATTACTATTAATTTTTGTTTAATACTAATTATTACTACTGATATTAATTTTAAGACTAAATTCGTAGGTGCAACTACTAACGGTTTTGGTAGAAATTAATATTGATAGCTTCAACGACCTCAGATAGTAAACACAGGTCCCGTAAACAAACTAATGTAAATATGGCGAATCAATTCCACCATTGTATCGCAGTAACCGCGTCTGTTACTGCTCCCTTCGTATTCCGTATTTTTTTTACAACTTTTCAATAAAGTGTTAAACGACCTATGATTATTAACGTGTTTTTCTTATTTAGGCTGATAGAATATATTGACAAAGTTTGGCATTTTAAATCTGGGACACCCTGTACATAATAGCATTTGGAACATTAAAAGCGCAAAATAACATTCAATTACAAAACGTTTGTAGAAAATTATTAGGAAGGGTACAATTATGTATGCAGCAAAATAGATAACATTTCTAACAATTTTTAACCTAATAATGAATATTTTGAAAGTAAGCTAATAAAATAAACTGTTTAAAATGTAAACGTCCTGCTTCTTATGTATCCTCGATTACCGAATAGAATTAATATGAACAAAGATATAATGTATGTATATTGTAATGACAATTACGGTGAAATCCGTTGAGTACAGGCATTATCGAGCCATTCCACGTCAAATCGCATAGAATTGTGGTCATACTTACCGATGTTTTTCAAACTTATAGGATCTGTTGATACCCTTGAAAAACTAAACGATGTAAAATTTTAGCTTTCTATTTCGAACGGTTTTTAAACTATTAATGTTAAAGTTTTGGAAAATTAAACGAAATCAGCCAACATGTTAGCACTTTAACCGTAATAATTCGACTCCGTTTAAAGATAATGCATTCCTCTTAGGCCCATTTTAAAAATATAGAAACGCTCTTTTCGAATCTATACATAAAACTTTATTTATTATCAGCAAACATAACAATAATCGCAGCTAGAGTTTCAACTGCTGATTTGACGCTGTTCCCACCCATAGAACAATCTGAAAAAATACCATTAGATTGCTTGAACTTTAACCTGTAAAATAAGCTTCTTAAAAAGATGACACCATTTCGGGAACATTGACAAAAAAAGAGTTTACAATAGTGCATGTCGTTTGGCGCCATGCTGACACCATGGACAGGCGAACAGTTGCCGCACATGCGTAACGCATACAATGTATCACTTTTCCAAGCCAGATATCCCGCTGGAACGCTTTTGAAATTGTACTTTTACATAATAACGAATATTGTCCAGAATAATAATGTACTATCAGAAATAGATCTGTACCCACGGTTTAAAAGAATAAATGAAACCTGCAGGTTGTACTGTTAGGATAGTGACACCGCTTAGAATTAGTCACTATCCTGACGCACCAGGAGGTTCCTTTGGCCGTTCGAAGCTCGAACGGCTTACTCATAAGGATACAAACTCCAGGAAAAGCGAAGGGAGAAAGGACAGTGTCCCCACACATTTCGAGCAATAGTTGGCTTCACCTCGTCCCGCACACGTCATAGTGAAAACGTCCTCTGTACGTGGTTCCTGTATTATATTAATAAAAACTACTTTTACACACTAAGAAACGTTCTTCGAGACTTCTCTCTTTGCCGCGGCATAACAGTACACCGCTGCCTACAAGTTTTGCAAGTCTCTTCTATCTTTATCGTCATTTTGCTGATTGTTCCCGACGAGGTACCATCAATGTAAAATTACCTCCTTCTTCCTTGATCCTTAGTCTATGGTGTCAGCGTAGTGCCAAACGACGTGCACCGTTGTAAACTTTTCTTTTCGATGTTCCCGAAATGGTTTCGTCTTTTTAAGAAGCTTATTTTACAGGTTAAAATTCAAGCAATCTAATCGTATTTTTTCAGATTGTTCTATGGGTGGGAACAGCGTCAAATCAGCAGTTGAAGCTTTAGCAGCGATTATTGCTATGTTTGATAATAAATAAAGTTTTATTATAGATTCGAAAAGAGTGTTTCTTTATTTTTAAAATGAGCCTAAGAGGAATGCATTATCTTTAAACGGAGTCGAATTATTACGGTTTAAGTGCTAACATGTTGGCTGATTTCGTTTAATTTTCCAAAACTTTAACATTAAATAGTTTAAAAACCGTTCGAGATAGAAAACTAAAATTTTACATCGTTTAGTTTCTCAAGGGTATCAACACATCCTATAAGTTTGAAAAAAATCGATAAGTATGACCAAAATCTGTGCGATTTGACGTGGAATGGCTCGTACACAGGTACTCGATGAATATTGAAAGTTATTATAATCTAAAACAAAACCTAGCATGAAAAGCTTTTGTTACTTATATTCAATTCATTTTTTCATTTAAAATCACCACCTTTCCGCTTGTACCACTAATTACGCGACACTCTGTATGTATGTATGTACAGGGTGTAAAATAATTAATGGTCACGGTTTCAGGGCGTGAATCTACACCCTTGGATCGGTGGAGATTTGTAAAAAAAAAGTTTCCGCAAAATTGTTTATAACATTGAAAATTAATGTGAAATTTTTTTTTTACATCAACGTATTCTGCTCGACGAGAAGAGAAAAAGTCTGAAAGGAGCCATATGCCGCAAACAAATAGTTTCCGAGATAAACGTTGATAAAGTTTGGCAACGATTTGATTGTGTAGAGCTATACGTATAGATTAGGACCCACTAACACTCTGCCATTTGGTGGGATCTAGCCGTGTAGGACACGCTCGGTATAATGGTGTGCGTGCCCCTACACAAACGCCGTTTAAAGGGACAGCAAGGTCTAAACTCGAAGGCAGGCCCGAACCAAACGGCGTTTGTGTAGGGGCAAGCACACCATTATACCGAGCGTGTCCTACACGGCTAGATTCCACCAAATGGCAGAGTGTTAGTAGGTTAGTAGGTCAGTACGTCCTGTACGTATAGCTCTACACAATCAAATCGTTGCCAAACTTTATCAACGTTTATCTCGGAAACTATTTGTTTGTGGCATATGGCCCCTTTCAGACATTTTCTCTTCTCGTCGAGCAG